CTAAATAGTACCATGCACTAGGACAGTCTCTCCACACGAAGCAAAATCTGAGGCAGTTATGTTTGTAGAAACCAGATCACTGGGAAACGTGTGAGGGAGACAGCATCTTATGGTTGTTGTTTGTTTTCATTTGATACAAGTTACAGTTTGAGTCACAAACATAATTTCTGTCGATAGCACTCTCACCAACCACTGGAAGCACTGTGGAGAGACTTCACTGGTATGCTATACAATTTCAAAAGTTTAAAATCAGTGTTGTAATAACAAATTACTAGTTACGAGGAAAAACAATTTCAATGCATTTTTGCATTTCACATCGGCAGTAGCAAGCACAATTGAAAATAAACACTATGCATTTGGCTGAAGTAAAAGTATCAAAATTTCTGGGTCTCTCAATTCAGTCAAATCTCAAATGGAATATCCATACATGTGAATTAAACACTAAATTAAGTTCATTATGAAAAGTATTCAGAATTCTTTCAAATTTTTTCAGCCTTCATGCAGCTCATTTAGTATATTTTGAAAATCTACATTCTAGCATGACATCTGGCATAATATTCTGGGGAAGCTTGTCTTATAGGACCCAGATCTTTGCAGAAAAAAATTATGCAAATAATAAACAAATGTCATCCATGTGATTACTGCAAGCCTCTCTTCATTGAGCTTGAATCTTACCATTGCCTTCCCTATTTATTTATAAATATGAAGTTTTTTTCAAAACTGATTTCTTTAACCATGGGAACATTTTCACACAATACTGATATTTATAATTACAACACATGCCATTGAAATTACATACATTAGGTGTCAGTAAAACAGTTCACTACAAGAAACACACACACAGAACAAGTATCTTTCGTTACAACACATTGCCAGATGACATAAACAAAATACAATCGACACAGAAGTTTAAGTTCAAAGTAAAAACTTTTCTGCTGAATAACTGCTTTTATACAATTAAAACTATTCTTACGATCAAAAAGAAAAAGAAAATGTTGTTTAACAATGATATATAATGCATTAGTTTACAATTGTATTGTAAATCTTAAAAGTTTCTATTTAATATCCTTGTAACAAGTAATGTACTTCAGCTTCTGGGTCAGTGATCCTTATCTCAATCAGATTTTCATCCAGTTTCCCTGATCCATTGAAAAAATGCTGAGATGACCCCTTGTTTTGCCAGGACATAAATGTAGCTTCGCTATGGACACATTTTTTTCAGTGAAGCTAAGGAATATATGTTACTATTTGGTTAGCAATGTTAAAAAATCAAATCTGTAGTTAATTTACCAACGCAAATAATTTAAGTCTGTACCTCACAGCGAAAATGTGTATCTTCATATGTTGCTAACCTCGCTTTGTTAGTACGTTTGTTCATCATGCAACTATTTTTTATTAAAAGGAATATATTAAAAATGGAATATATTTTTTTTTTAAGTTATTTTTTTCTCCAATAAAACAATGTAGAAAAACTAGAAACAATGTATTTTAAAACCTGTCTACAATGGTCATTTGAGAGCATCCTGGTGATTATCAAGACAATAACTTGAAAAAGATCTTTTGAACATTGAATGTCACCAACACACTTCAGAAATAATATAAAAGACTGTTTGATCGCAAAATAAGCCAAAATACTGGCCTACAATCTGATAATTTTAAAAGATTCCAGATATTGTTGTCTGAAATTTACCAAAAACTGAGAATACCAAAAGTAATATATTTTGAAGGTAGTTGCTGAAGGCCAAACATTATACCAACAAGGAATTCTAATCTCTTAAACTGAGGTTCTGATGAATCAATCCGTCAAATTTACTTCCGAATTCGACCACCTACCTATTGCATTGTTAAGAAAATTTAGAAATAACTCATTATGATGTTACTATTTGTTAATTCAGAACTAATTTATTTTAGTAATAATTAAGTTCTGTGTTTTACATTCCTTATCGTATGCTTAAAATAAATTATTTGTATAAATGTTAATATTTGATTCCAGCCTAGCAAAATTATTTTCAATCATTGCAAATATATTAGTTAAAAACCATTTTCTACTAATTGATACCAAAAATTAAAAGATAATTGACAATAAAAAAACTAACGTGTTGAAGTCCATGTATCCCCAGACCTTTCCATGAAACCCCATGTATCTTCAGACCCCCCTTTTTTTGAGAAACATAGCAATTTTTGAAAAGTTGAGGCTGGTGAGTCAGGTCTTAACGTAATCTGATCAAGCTCAAACTTTGAGAATCTCATTTTTACACCAATTGGTAACTTTTTAGGAAATCTTACCAAAGAAAATTAACAAGTCGATTTTTTCAATCACCCTAATATACCCATACACATACACATGTGCATACATGCATGCATGCACATACATAAGTACATAAATACATACATACACACACACATTCCAACGTGATACACGTTTGTAGCCCCCTCTCACTTCCATATGCTTACACCCCTTACATATGTATGCACATGCGCACACAAAAATTTAGGGCAACAACCTTGATTTCAGGACAGCCTCTTCTGCTTCTTTTACAGCATAATCCCACTTCTGATTTTTTCCTGGTTGAGGAAAAGCTGTTGAATATCTCTTATCCTTTTTTTTTGTCTGGAAAAGTTACAGGTGAAATTAAGAAAGCTACTTAGGAGGCTACTAGAAAAATATCCAATATTTTGTATTCATGACAATTATATGATATTACCTACAATCACAATACACTGCTGAGCAAATTGCTTGTTAAAAATAGATAATTTAGAGCCTGTTTACATCCAAAAAGGGGACTAAATCAGGACCTTTTAAATAATTTTACAGCTTTTCAATACTAAGTAAACAGTATTTTGCAGACCACAATCAAGAGCTTATAGAGGTTAGGAATATTGGCTGAAAAAAATGTTCAAGTGTGACTAGACTCCTCAAATTACTTGTAACAAGTTACACTGGGAAAAATAAAAAAGAAAGGGAAAAAGAAAGTCTCATGAATGGAACAGAATTAGCTGTATCAGGCAAATACCTGATGGATGGAATTCCAAAAATTTGTTGTATTACCACCAATTGTTCACTGTTTTTCACAAACCTTTTTTCTTCGACTTTGGAAACATATTTCCAAATATCACTGCAAATTTGAAAATTATTCTTTTTTGTTAATAAAACATTGAAAATAGGTACTTAGTATCACTGACTATATGATCAATCATTTATCTCAAAAGATGTTATTATTAATTCTGAAGTACTTCAGGTGTCCCATCATCCCCCTTATTGTTTTTACTGTTTATTAATGATATTGAAGTCTACCTAGGCTTGAGCTTATTTTCTTTACTTGACGACAATTTGAAATTGTATGCTGAAATTACTACATCTCAGGATTGTATTTGTCTTCAGAAAGCTGTTAATGCTTTAGGAAGTTTGTGACTTCATTTAACTTGAATTTTTTAAATTTAAATCTTGAAAACGATTAAGTGATGTTAAGCTCAAATAGATGCATTTACAAAAATTATTATACTATTGGTGAAAAAATTCTCATCTGGTGGAGGAATCTTAAGATACGAGTAAATTTTAACAAAAAATTAAAATTTATCAGTTGTGTGAATTAATATTTGTGAATTCAATCTGCGTGAAACTTGAGATTTATTATCAGAATAACATCAGCATTTCTGACTATTTCTGCAATAAAAATTTTGTATTTTGCACTGGTGAAATCATTGTTTACACATGCAGCCCAACTGCATGTGCAGGCATAAGCCAACAACATATTTAGACTGAACATTCAACACACATCTTTTTTCATTTATGCAGGAGGGAAACTACTTTTGCCTTCTCCTAGCCTGACCCATAATTACCGCTACATCTCATTGGCATTAGAATCTAAGACTGTATGATGACATATTTTATGAATTAGTCAATGGAAAAATCAATTGCACAGAACTACAGCAGAACATTATCGTGGGAAATCCTGTGAGTGCATTGAGAGATTATCATTTATCATGTGTTGTATTACCTTTTGAGAGAACAAACCTTTTTTATAATGAACCTCTTAGTCGCATGAAATCGCCAATGATAATTCTTTTGGCCTATTGAATCATCACAATGTATTTTTGAGAAATCTGAGACAACTTACATTAACAGACTTTATGATATCATTTTCTTTTCATACTAACTCTTATGTACAATTTTGGTTATTGAGACTCCTCATTCTATGTACTTATATAAATTTTGTATTGGGCATTTGCCTGACTTTGTAATAATAAATTAATGAATAAATTTCTAAGACATTTATTAACACACATTTTTTTAATAGTCAAATCTGACTAATTGCTGCTTGAAATTTAGTTCGATTTTCAAAACATGGAAAGTATATAGAATATAATTGTTCAATAGTTTTTATTCCCTTAGATAGTGAGACAAAAACCATACTTGAACATTTGTTCAGTTCTGAGATGCTTGTTGACCAATGGAAGATATTACAAAAAAATCTATACAAAACTATACAATAGAAATTATTCCTATTTAAAGGATGTGGTGAATGCTTTCACCTGAATAAATGGGACATGGAAAATCACCATCAAGGAACATTTAATGGACACACTTCATGGATGACTACATATGTAGACTGATTTCAAATAGCCGTATGGTCTACAAGCATCAAAATTACAAATTTGTTCATTCTTAAACTTTCTTATACTTGTATATGTTTTTTAACTCATATGATAAAAGAAAATATGTAACGGTAACTTTTGTTGGATAAGATCAATTTAATTTTTTTTTTTTTTATATTGACATCAAGATATTCCAAAGAAAATAAAAGTTTAATATGTATGAGTGATAAATAGGGAACGGATTCATATGAATGTACACATTTATTCAGAAACAAAACATATGCAATCAGTAATTTTTTGTTTTGTAAGACATTCTGAATTAATTAAAACCATATTCATTTGACATATTCTGGTATAATTATGTATTTTCACATATTTTACCTGTCACCACAAATTATTTACATATTTAATTTACACCGATATATTGAAATGGAACATATCGGATATAAATCTATTGGCAATGTGTGTTCCCAGAAGTATTTCTGTTAAGCAAAGCAATGTAATATTGCACTACTATAATTGCAAAGCAATCACTTCAAACTCAGCAATCTCCGCTAAGCAATCAGTGCTTAAACAGCTAGTCATAATTGAAAACCATGATATAGATTATTAAAACAAACATCGCAGATGCACTTATCACAGTGAATAAAATGACATTTACAATTTAAAATTGAGTCCGAAAGAGCATATTTAAAAAAATATCAAACAAATGCATCACTTGTAAAAATTAAATAATAAAAAGAACTATCGCCACAATGATGCTGATTCAATATATTTAATGGTTTCAAGAATTGCATACATCTCAGCAGTGAATACACTATACAGAAAGTGAATTAGAAATGATTTTTGTGATCCTAATACAATGAAAACTGCATGCCACTGCCTCGTTGGATGATGAGCCATCAGTGTATATGAATATATGGTAACGATAAGCTGCCTTTATATTGTGAAACTGAATCTGGTATACAGGGGACAAGTAGTGTGTTTGGGAAGGTTGGAGAATCTGAGAATGTTGGGACAGGAATTTCTAAGTGGGAGCGAGGTTGTTTGGGGGTTGAAAGTTGGGATGAAAACATTAAGAATGTAAGGCAATATTTTTGTTACATTGTAACAAACACTAAAAAATCAAATTTTAAGTGCAACGAGGTTCCACACTGAGACCCTTCAATTCTTAGAGAATGATGTAATATTAAAATGAAATAATAATTCTGAATAATGCAGTAACATCCAACCCAGAGAGATGTAACATTAAAAGGTTCGCAGCTTTACACTAATAAATGGCACTAAGAAAAATAGAGAAAATGAATAACTCAATGAAATGACTCTTGAGCCGAGATGAATAACTCTTGAGTCGGGACCTGGAGGTCAAGCCTGTGGCAAGGAGAGAGACTAGAAATCCAACATAAGTGTTGATAAAGTGTTACAGAGACAAGACAAAAGGGCACAAAACAATCATTATTCAATGTGAACATTGAACATGTTTCTAGAACTGTTTCTAAAAACGTAATTGAAATGTTTTATATTTACCAAGATCTGTACATGTATGTTTTAGAAAAATATGGGTCTTCACCTTAACTTACAAACATAATGAATCACATAACTACAATCAGTGAATTTTTTTGTAAGAGTACACATGTTAGATGATTGCTGGACATTGCTCTTTGACATCATTAATCTTCATTCTACTAATTTTACAATTTTACTGAAAACCAATGTTTAAACTATAAAACCAGTTAATAATAGCAAGCAAAAAGACGTCTGGGGCTCACTACCTTTCATTTAAAGCAAAATTACAAAATTTGGTCAAATACAAAGCTCAAACTTCTTTCTAAACAAAAACCCTTCAGTGTTTCAAATATAAAGATTATTGCAATTTTCTTAATGTCAGAAGTTTTAATGAAAATTGCAATTATACTATTGTAAAGTAAAAATATTTAATTATTCACAAAAGGCAATATCACACCTTCGATTGCACTCTTCAAGTGATGGACTACATCGTTTCTTGATTTACTTTACACCACATCACTAATTTGCATTACTTCACATTTAAACTAGTCTCCCAAGAGCTGTTCGTATCATAGTAATTGTACAGTACTTGATCTACACTGCCACTACTGAGTGTTTATTTCACTTTTTCTATGCAAAATTTACCTACTAGCGACTTACACCAAGAGTTAATTTTGCTCAGTTTTTATTGGTATGGTGGTCTCTCTACACCAAAGAGATTCATACACAATAGAGGTAGAATAAATGTTTTACAGTGATTGTCAAAGCACTACTTCCAATTTTTTTCAAAATATCTCACAACAATATTTAAATTGATTAATTATTTAAGTACAAGAATACCTGAGGTTCTTCCGTTTCTGAAATCAGATTTGACTATTCTAAAAGAAAAAATATCTCTAATGTTTAAAAACAGAAAAACTTTACAACAAACCATGCCTGTGACAATTGTTTTCTTCTTCTTCACTTAGCTAGACTTAAAGCTCATCTATGAATCTTTCCTTCCTGCACATCTGCCTTTTATTCTCCTCTTCTACAACAATTTACTGCCCATTCATTTTTTGTTCATTGCCTCACTATCCAAAAATCTGAGACAGTTCGTATTAATTTAAAGCAACCTTCTGAGCAAATACATCAACCCTTCGACTTCATCGACTCATTCCCACTCCAGTACATCATGTTTACAGACATGATGAGTAAATTTACAGAACAACATTACTCAAATCAACATCACAAGATAACCCATGAGGAGGACCTCCTTTGTGGCCATGTACCACAGTGTTACAAATAGCATAAGCTAGTTGATGGAAGTACAAGGAGAAACTAACATGAAGGCAAAACAAGAAGATATTAGATACATACCTCTGCAAACTTTAACAGATTATTTTTCCCTGAATATTTCATTATTTGATTAACTGAAACCCAGCTACGACTTCCATTGTCTCCAAAATATTGAACATGGACTTGTTGCTGAGATGATCGACCTGTTCCTGTTCAAGAAATGAAGCATTTGCAGTTAACTTTGATCAAAGGAGATATTCATTCAATGGGCCTTTCGAAGGGAAGGCTGAAAGAAATTTAAGTGAAATATTCATGTCTATTCCTAATAATTCAAGTCTTAGATGCAGCCTCCATCTCATATAAATTAAAAACAAAAATAAATGACACTGAAATCACACACATTATCTAATTCAAAGAACTCACGTTTCAACTTTATTTATAACAATTCACAATTAATTCTAATTACATCCTCAAGATTCGTATTATTAGAAACAGAAATATATTTCACTAAATTTCTCTATCACCTCCTAAGAGGTTTACAGAATGAGTAATTTTCTCATATTAAGAAAACATGATGTTAAAAATACTAAACTTAAATATGAAATTTGATTGTTCATGCCACATAATAATAGGTAATAATAAGATGATTATCTTTAAAACCAGGTCTCCGCGACTACATGTGATTGCTCTACAGCCAGGAGCTACAAATGATCACTTGGTACATGTCTGATGGCAAGGGAAATGAGTATTTTTTTGAAGTATCAAGTCTGTAAGAAAACTAACAAATAACAGCAAAACCATTACATATTCTCATTAGAGATGGTAGTCTGTAAGGCACTTCAAGTTCAAGAATTATCCTTATAACAATTCAATAAAAAGACACTTGATTCTTTTTATTTTCAAATAAAACACATAGCAAAATAAAGGATACACTCATAACTTGCATCTATGTATATCCCTAAATTTAAAAAATTGAAATGGAAATGGTGGCTCATAAATAACCTATCCTCGGTTATAGGCAAGACAAATTCTAGCAGTTCTAACTTTAAAATTAGTCACAAAGTCAATAATACTGTGCCTATTATCATCAATACAGTCAAATCCAAAAACCGGCTTTCAGAAAAACACTAGTAATTGAAAATATTGAAAACTAACATGATGGCCGCCTTTGATAAAGACTTCACCACAAACACTGGCAAAAACATTGCATCCGTACTCGCATACGTTCAGCTACTCATCTCTTGTCTGTGCAAAAATACATGGAGGTGAGCAACACCAAATTATTAGGTGAGGGGTATTTAATCAATAATTTATATATTCCCCCAATATGAAAAACAAAAAAAACCATTGGGGGATGCTCAAGCAAAACCATAACAATTATTTTATTATTTAACTTCATCTATTTGGAAAAAAATTGAGATTTTTTGTACATGTGAAGAGATACTGCAAATGCTTACCCATGTAATTTAATGAAATATCTTATGTGTAAATTATTACAAAATTCACCAGTTACACCAATTTAAACAGCTTGCATTTTTTCTATATATTATCAATATAGCATTAGCAATAGCATTTCTCATCTTCCAGTCATTATTTAATATATTTAATGCAGTTCTCGTTTCCATTGTAACTGTGTCAATGTTCTGTTTCCACAAATACAAAGATTTTGAACAATATGATTAATGGAGGTGTCTGACAATGCTCCCTTCTCACTTACAAAACACAACATAAATTTGCGACTTACATGAATGCACAAAAACAAATTCTCATAGTTTTCTGAAACCAAGAGCTGCAAATATTTCAATAACATGCCTTGTTATGTAAAACTTGTATAACAAATTCTGTGAGACTGTTAGGCCACAACGATTTAACACAAGAGTTTGTTTGCTTACATTCCACTTCCTCAAAATTTATAAAGAATCTTGCACTTATAACATAAACATATTTTCTACAAATAGATATGAGTGTGTTCGATAAGTAACTTGCTTCGATATGAAAAACAATGATCTGAGTTTTGTAACTTACCTTCTTTTTGACATAATCCCCTCGAAGTTCAGCACACTTGACCCAACGTTTCTCCAGTTTCAGGATCCCTTCTCTAAAGTGTTTTTCTTCAGGACCCTCGAAATAGTCATTGACTATATGGATGGCTTCTTCATTGCTGACAAATTTTTGTCCAGCCAGGAAAGTTTTCAATTTGGGGAACAAATGAAAGTCCGAGGGGGCGAAATCAGGTGAATCGGGCAGATGTGGAAGCAGTTGGAAACGAAGTTCAGTGAATTTTTGCTGGGTGGTATGGCTTGAATGTGCTGGGGCGTTATCGTGATGGAACAACACTTTTTTTCTTGCCATTCCAGAATGTTTATTCGTGATAGCTGCCTTGAGTGTGTCCAGAAGTGATGCATTGTATTTTCCAGGGATGGTTTTTCCCTTTTCCAGGTAGTCTATAAGAAGAATACCTTTAGCATCTCAAAAGACTGACGCCCTGCTGATGGATTGCATTTCATCTTCTTCGGAGCCGGTTCTCCTCTTGCAAACCATTGTTTTGACTGCTGCTTCTTCTCTGGAGTGTAATGGTGAATCCAAGTTTCATCCATGGTAACAAAACGACACAAAAAAATCGGCCGGATTTTGCTTGAATAGCTGCAAATACTCGACAGATGTTCTCATGCGATTTCGTTTCATCTCTGCAGTCAGCAAACGCAGCACCGATCTTGCACAAAGCTTATTCATGCTCAATTCAAGATGCAAAATAAAATGCACTCTGTCATTTGAGATACCTGAGGCCTCTGCTAACTCGCGCACTTTCATTCATCTGTCTGCTAAAACAAGATCATGGATTTTGTCAACGTTTTCTGGTGTCACAGCTGCTTTTGGAGCCCCAGGTCTTGGGGCATCTTCAATGCTTGTCCTGCCTCGCTTAAATTCTTTAACCCAAAGTCTCACCATCTTCTACAAAGGGCATGAATCACCCAATGTAGGCACTGTCCTTTCATGGATTTCTTTCACATTTTTACCTTCCATAAAAAAGAATTGGATAACACCAATAATTCCAGTTCTATCCTTCTTTCACACTGACTCGCAAACGCTTTTGTTCAAGTCGCTGTCCAACAATGAGCTAGAGTGATAATGACTTGCAACAATGAAATTTTACCGTATGTTGTTGTAGCTTTAAATTAAAATTCACAGACGTTGCTTTTGTCATCTCTTAGTATGCGAACCAAGTTACTTATCGAACGACCACCATATAATACGAACTATTTAAATAAATTAGGCAATGTTTTAAAAACACTAAAACATCTTTAATTACACCACAAAAATGGTAACTGATTTAAAATGCATTAAGGCAAAGAAAGTGATGCTGGGTAGTGTTACTATTACATATACAGAAGGGCCTCCCACATTATACATTAATGGGGAATGCTTGTGGGTTATTTATTTATTTTTCTCAGTTTTCACTCAAGAAGTATGGATCACGCCATTTAAACACTCTCAGAACAACTAGCCCTACTTCAGGACTTATAAATGGTGTTGCCGCTTTTCTCTGAACCAGGCACTGTTTAAGGTGGCCATGCTAACACACTTACTCTTCGTTTCAAGATACATTGCATTCCGAGGATCCACAACAACTATGCAAGGCCAAAATGGATGACGACCAATTCGTGCCCAAAGCAAATCTCCTGGTAACCATTCACTCTCTTCAGTATTAAGCCCTTCATTACTTGATTGGCTTGGTTGAGAAATGTCATTTGGCATATCTTGCGCCTTCTCCTCTTCTACACTTTTCCCATTCTCCTGTAATTAAGGAAGTAATAAAATGAACAACTTTACAGTGGTTTGAAATATCACCATACTAATATTACAAGAATGAGGGATAATAATGGTACAAGGAGAATGAATGGACTCATCCCATATGCATCCATGTCCTATTCTAACAAAATTTGATATTACATTACAATTTAATAGTTTTCCACTCCCGAAAACGTTGAGTAAATATTGACACAAAATACTTACTTTAAATTAATTGAATCTAATGGTTCAGTACAGTACAAGATACATTACTGAAGATCATCTTTTCTACTCGAAGGATTACGAACAATAGCATAGTCGTTCTTTCTAATCTAATTACATACAAAATCATTAACCCTTCGGCTGTTACTCCATTACTTACACTGTTTGGGGGTCAGATTAGACTCCTCACGCTTCACTCAATAGTTTACCATTATTTCATGCACGAATGCAATTTGAAATTATTAATTAAGAAAATGATGCTATGTATTTGCTTTATTGACTACATTGTACTAAAAAAAAAAGAATAACATTTCTAGAAAAACATTCTAGCACATCCTTGTACCTATACATAGGTGTCTACCACACCAGCATGAGAATGATACATAAGTACAAACTTTTAATAGACAAATGTATCCATTTGTCATTCACAAACAACAATATGATATTATAAAATGGAAATGGACACATTTTTTAAATTTATCTTATAATTTAGATGTGAAGTGTGGAATCTATTTGCATGCATTTCTGACTCCAACATAAAAATCAAATTATTTCCAACCAAAAAACTTTAAGGTTACAACACATGTAAAACTAAACATAAATAACATATCTAAAAGGAGTTCATGCGAATAATTTTTAGTGTTGCAAAACATTATTTGGGCCTGGGGTCAGAAAAGACCCCAAAGAAAGTCTAAGGGTTAACAAACAAAATTAAAACAAATAGTATCAGTTTCTAATCAAAATCAGGGAAATATATGACCCAACATAACCATAAATTATTTAGCTTTAGTTGTGAACTTTTCAGAAATGTATTTCAATACACATTAATAAATATATTACTGTGAATTCAATATAAAATGCAATTCACTTTTCCTAAGCTTGTAAATTTGTGCCATTGTTAAATTGATAAACAGCATATAATAATTAAAACTAATATAATTTGCATTGACATTACAGAAGAGTAAAGCAATCATTAGTAAATATTAATGATCCACTAAAAGCAAACCTAACTCAAAAGGCAGCCCTTTTATTTACATATGGCCAAACAATGTTTCAAAAGCAGATGTTAAAAGAGTGATATTTTTTCTCATCTCAATACACAGAATTTGGAACTACAAAATGCATTTTCTATTGACAATAGGCCCCAGGTTCAGCAACAGTACAGCTGTATTTAAACAAAATATTTTTAAGGCATTAAGGTTTCTTACCATTGTATGATTAATTACAGGACATGGCATTCTTATTAGGTTATATCCTAACACCAGACACTCCAAAGGCTATGCAATAATACATCACCACTTAATGATTTTTATTTATATTTATAGGCAACCTAGTACTTTGACCACATTAACATTTAATGTATCAACACGGCTCTTCCGACTTTCTTATCACTCCTAATGCATTGCAAAACAATGGTTTCATCCCCTTCGTATCATTCAGACCTCGCCAGAATCAGACCTCACGAAGCCTCTTCCACGCCTGCATAGCACGCCTGTACTAGTTGTGTGGTGTATTTCCCGCCAAATGCGTGCCAAACTTCACATCGGATTTCCCGGTTCACCACTCCAATCGCATAGAGTTTCAAAACAGTTTGAATGCTAGCATTTATTCAATAAAATGTTATATAGATAGATAAATATTTTAAATATGAATTAAATACAATATTTGAGCATTTTATTGTAAGATTATACTATAGTTTACACCATGGCGTACGCTGACAACAGTAGTCTTTTTTACCACTTGAAACGCGAGTCCCTTTTCGTTCCTGATTTATCCATGAAAAGAATCATACAGTACGAATTTCGTAATAATGGCAGGTCTTCAGTGGCGTAGATTGTGGGGGGATAACCCCCCTCCCTGCAGAAATAATCTATTTCTAATACCTGATTTGAAAAGTAATTCGATTTTAACATATAGTGAATCACACGTTTTGATGCAAATTTCAATTTTTTAAACTGATAAAAAATGTTTTAATTATTTTTCACTGTTGTCCACATTGTTTTAAAATCTGAAAAAAATATGTTATAGAATATTACGAGGCACATTCTAGGGAGGAAACTGAGACAGTACTCCAACGCTATCACGTTGAAAATAATGAATAAAAATTTATTTATTTCTATTTGAATATGGCGTCAAAATTAGTTCACAAAAATACCTTCAAATTCAACTATTTTTCAGCCACAGAAGCTGAGGAAAAAATAAAACATGAAAACACGTTTCTCTTTGTATCTCTGCAACATATTGCCCTAGGAGGCTGATTTTTTTTTAAAATCTACGGCATTTTTATTCTTTCATACGAGCATCGCGATTATCGATTTGGTTTGGGAGCACTTTTCACCGGCTTATTCGGCTATATCCTTTGAACGCCTAATAAACAACAATTGCAGCCCAAACGCAATTCACCAGGTCATAAAGCCTGTGCGCGAGAATTCTACCACTATTTCCCCACTCCTAACTTCATCTAACACCTTCACAGTTGACCCACAAGTAATAACCGACTCTTCAGCTCAATCCCAGGCCGATCGCTTCCTTCCATCAAATATCCCCCTCCCTGACCAGGTAATCCTAAACTACCTACAAATTTATTCACTCCCACAAAGCAGTAACAGACTAGGCCGACGATGAACAACGAAACGCGACAAATTATAACCTCTTTAACAATATCAAAGCACCCGGACTCGATGGAGTTCTCCCCTCCCAACTGAAACATCAACCTGAAAATGCCATCAAGCTCCTAATCCTAATCCTAAATTCCTGCCTAATACTCATTCTTCCCCACCGACTGGAAGACTGCCCGTGTCTCCGTGATCCCTAAACTTGGCAAGGACCATTGGTTCCCATCCAACTACCGCCCCAGTAGTCTCCTTCCAATCCCAGGAAAAATCTTTGAAAGACTTAACCTTTCACGACTCACTCCCCTCCTTGATCCTATAATCCTTCCCACCCAGTTTGGTTTCCGTGTGGGCCACTCGGCGGCCCTCCAATCCCTACATCTTGCGATCTCTATTGACCCCATTGCGAAAATCCAGAGAAATTCCAATCGACCTCACCGATCTAATCCAGGCATTTGACCCATCCCAATACTTCTGATAACCCATCCCAATACTTCTGATGAAACTCCGCCCTTACGTTCCCGTGCACCTCTACTCTAATCACAAGTTACCTCACTAACCGATCCTTCCATTTCCACCACCTATCCAAATCCTCAAGTTATTACCCTCCCAGTCGACGTCCCTCAGGGTGTTGTACTCGTCAAAACCTTCCTATATGCCGATGACCTTGCCTTTCTAGCCCCTAACCTTTCCCTCAGCAGATCCCTCATTCTTATTCTTTCTTTAGTTCCTTTCGGGGCATAGGGCCTCGGCAAAAGATCTCCATCTTACTACGTTTTCTGCTATAAGGATGACTTGTTTCCACGTCATACCAGTCTCCCGGATCTCTCTTTCCACTGTCCTTCTTCATGTTGTGCTCAGCCGACCTTGGCTTCTACTCTCTTGTGGATTCCAACATAGCGCTTCTTGTGCATTTGAATTTCGGGGTTTCTTTAAAGTATGTACTATCGTTTCATTTTCTGCGTTTTACTTGCATTGTTATTGATGTTTAATCAGCTTTCTTCAGCAGTTCTTGATCTGTTATTGCTTGTGGCCACCTAATGTTTAGGATTCATCGTAACATTGGTTTATGAATACTTGTAATTTATATGTGTTCCCCGTTATTTTCCAAGTTTCTGATCCGTATAAAAGCACAGATTTTACATTTGAATTGAAAATAAGTGGTTTTGTTTTTAAGTCAATATTCCTGTTTTTCAGATTCTCTTAATTGTATAAAACAAGCATTTGGTTTTGTTTCTTTGTTTAACATCTTCGTCTGCTCCTCCATCATCAGTTATTGTACCCCATATATTGTAACTAGTGAACATCTACTTCTACCTGGTTAATTTGAAAGATGTCTTGGACATTTGCATTTATTCTCAAAGATTTCGTTTTACTACAATTAATTAGCAACACCACTTTCTTTGCATCATATATATAATTAAGCTTTGACTTCATATTCATAAAATTTTGAGAGAGAAGACATACGTCGTCCGCAAACACTAGGTCTTCCAGAGTTCCCGTCAAACCCCATCTAATACTTCTTTCCATGATGGGCATTTCTCATTATCTCCATGATGTTAATCTGGTCAATACATAATTTATCTCGACGGTACCCAGCTTGCTCTCGGAGTATGTTGTTTTTTTCAATTTTGTTTACTGTATTATTTTTTTAATTTTCTTTATTCTTTATTTTGGACCAACTCTTGCATGGGATGGATAATAACGTGATCCTTCTCCAATTGTTCCAATCTGTGAGGTTTCCTTTCTTTGGTTTTTTACAAGTAGTCCTTTTCATTCTGCAAGGATCTTCTTCTTCATCCATACCTCCTTAAAAATTGGCAGAGGATATAACGGTAGGATTTAAATCATTTACAAGGAATTCCGTCGTTATATTGTCCATATCTGGAGCTTTCCCACGTTTCAGCGTTAGAGGAGCTTCTTTAGGATTTCTCTTTCTCTCTCGCTTTCTCTCTCTCTCTCTCTCTCTCTCTCTCTCTCTCTCTCTCTCTGCTGGAGCTTGATCTTGGATTTTCTGTTCACTATTTGTTTCATTTCTTTGTTCCTGGCCATTCACTCCTAGTGATAGGTTACGACTACCGCCTACATTGTATACTTCGTTGAAGTACTCATACTTCATTCGGTCATCTTCATTTATAATTAATTTCCCATTTTTATCCTTTTCATGTAAACATCTCGCTGACATTTTGTGGGAGAGCGTTCTAGTTATATACAATTAATTCATATCAATCTGCATTTTCTGCTTCCTCAGCTTTGCTGTCAATCCATCTCTTTTTATTATTTCTAACGAATTTATTTCCTTGTCGATCTCTGTGTATTACCTTTTCAACTGTACTGTTCCGTGCCTATTTTGCTTTAATTTTGTTTAAGTTTAAGATTCTTTCTCTCTTTGATCTTTTCCCACGTATTTTCCGATAGCCATTATTTTTTTCTGTCGTAAAGCAGTTCGTTTTCCTCAACAAACTGGCATCTACCAACAAGATAATGCAATTTGTCATACAGGTCGCAGTGTACGTGCGTGATTCAAAGAGCACCAGAATGATTTTACAGTACTTCTCTGGCCATTTGAATTATCCCGTCAGAAGTCGTAACTAAACGTAGCAAGTCATCATCATTCATTTATTCAGTTTAATTTACAGCTACAGAAAGTCATCTAAAACGCGCAAAAACCAAACTGAGCCAAACTATATCCAAAATTAAAGGCTAATTTTAGGCTAATTAAATGTTATATTCCTGAATTTATGGCTCTTATGGCTTTCCCAAAGTTATCGGCTTTAATATGACACTAGTAACGCTCACCTAAAAAATACAACTTTGCGTAATTGGAAATCAACGAAAATGTATCTAAACGTAAAGACTAATTAAAGGATTTAGTAAAAAAATTATATTTTCCAAAAAACACGGCTGTCCAAAGAGAAATGAGTACCATACGTTTTTGAAGGCGGTAGGACAGAGCCCGTTTACGGGCTGTCGCGCCAAGTACATTAATACATTTTTGGGGGGCCAATATACACGAAAACAATAAATTCAGAAAAATATGAAACCATACCCAAAATTATACGCTACTTTTAGGTTGCAGTAAAAAATGTTCCAGCCCATATTTTCTACAAATCAGGGCTGTACAAAGAGAAACAGGTAACATACGTTCTTATGGGCCAATCTTACGCGCGGGAAGCTTGTTGAGATGCTGCCTTGCAAAGTAATCTAAATTTTCTGAACAGATGTCCTCCTTGCCGTGATGAGTTTATCACATAATATGATTTTGTTTAAATTTGACCCTCACACTCGGAAAATGACACAATTTCGGCTATCGTAAATATTACATAATCTCTATTATATTTTTGTGGCGTTTATCGTTGAAGAGTCAAAAAATATCCACTATTTATTTCCAAAATTGTCGCAAAAATTGAGATTGAACCCTGATAAATAGACTTATCGATTACTCTTACGGCAAGAAACAGAAGCGGAATGTTTAATTCAAAATTAATAATTGAAAAATGTTTAATGTATCCGTATTTTCTCAAGATTGCCAACTTATAAATACATTAAGTAAATAATCAAAAAAATTGTAAACGTAGTTATGGTTTAATATGTAAATGAAGTTAAAAATATTATTTGAACAATTAATAAAACTGAGTATGTCTGAAAGCCTGATTGCTCAGAGTCATCTCAAAGAGCAGAAATTTCTCAGTTTGCCTCAGAAGGGTACGGAAAGAGAGAGAGCCATATCACACGCCCACAGCGCATGGGTTGACCTCTCTCGCCAAATAAAATACAAAATAAGGCGTAGGAAACGGAATTCTCTCTCCTGTGAAAGATATTCTGCTCGATGAAAGAAGTATCTTTCTATCGAAAGGAAATTGCGATCGAACCAGAACTCACAATTACAGTTATTATTTTATACACTAATTTTAACAAAACTGTGATTATACGACTTTCATTCT